CCCTCCCTCCCTCTCTCCCTTGACCAGCTTTCCTGCCCAGCCAGCACAACCTCCACAATGTTTTTCTTCCAAGCTGAGCGTTGCAGCTCAGTTGGCTGTCAAGGGTGGGTGTTTCCAGGCTCCCTCAGACCTGGATGTTCCTCCTCACTGCAAATTTCAACCTTAAAAAAAAAAAAATAAAAAAAAATGGTATTTGCTGATGAAGGCTCTGGCAGCTGCTCGCTGTACTCATCAAAGAAAAGGAAGTGCCAATTATTTCCTTGTACGAAGTGTTTCTGTAATCAAAGTGCTCTGCGGTTCAGTGGCGAATGCTGGTTCCCTCCCACGCCACGCACAGCCCGTGGGTCACGAGCCTGAGCAGGAGGGAGCTGCTGCCCACACCTTCATCGTTTATACTTTCACCCAGTGACACTCACACCCGTGTTCTCCTTGCGACACTCACCGTTTCCCCGCGGGGTGAGGTCAGGCAGGGCAGGCTGCCGCGGGCATGCTCACGCTGGAGTCATTGCTGCTGTCGGCTCCAAGCCCGGCCAGTTTCCCACCAACAAGCACAAATGTTTCAGGTCCCCAGATCCAGCATCTTGCCAAACTGGGAGGGTGGGAAAGGGGGGAACAGAATGATGTTTTCACTGAGAAGCGTCCCTCCTGCTCACCTCCCCCTCCATTTATTGTGGTAAGGCTCCTGCAGCCAAACATGGAAAAATGACTTGTGGCCCAACCAGAGCATCCCAGCGAGAGCTGTGCAGAGCTTTGCCCAAGGACCTCCCAGGCCCTCGGACCTCTGCGGCTCATGGCCCCGCTCATGGGGGCTCAGACTTGGTGGCAACAAGGGAAGCCATACATAAACATGCCACCAGAGAAAACATGCCAAGAAAAAAGAGGGCATTTCTGTGCTCTTGTTTTTTTCCAGTGCTGGCAGTCATAATTTTGTTTCTGTTTTAATTCTGGGGCTTGTTTTTTTTTAAACACCAAGAGATACAACATTTCCTGGAGGAGTTTTTCTTACCTCTTAAAACAGCAAACACTTCAAACTAGGAAATCAAGCTGGAAAAAACCAGATCTTTGCCCTTCATGTCCTTTTCCATCCACCTCTCTGACAACCCCCACTCTAAGGCGGTGTTTACCAAAAACTAAACTGTATCCTTTTTTCAGTTACAAAGTTACATTCCTGGAAGTAACAAAGGTTTTTAAAACAACTATTTTAATGAAAATGCCCCAATTAAAGCCCCCGTCTTGACCGCCTGGCAAGACAGAGGAGCATCAAGCATCACAGGGGGACCGAGATGCAGGCTCCAGCCGCCACGCGCCAGCGCAGCCCCGGTGACCCTACAGCAGCTGATGTTCTCATCCATTACTTCGGCTTTGTTCGTCTCAGCGTGTTGTCCTCCGCTCCAGATTTTGCACAGAGAAAAACCACAAAAAATGCAGAAACACCGTTTAGCTTGCTGACATAATGCCCATATTTAATCTTTTAAAACAAGAACAAAATCGAGAACAAAATCAAGAATAAAAATTTCATTTAAGTCATACAGTACATTAATCTTTCAGCAATGACCCAATCTACAGTACTCAAATGCCTGGCATGAAGTCTATTATCTCAGCGTTTAACAAGTGTATAACCAGTGACACAGTAAAAGAAGAGCTCACAATACACAGCTAACACGATGAGTTTAGATTTTCTTCTAAGAGTCCAGCTAAGGTTTGTAATATATGGGTCACTTTTGAACCGTACTTTAATCAACTTTTTTGTTCAGTCAATCTGTTTGGGGCCTTTTTTTTTTCCTGTAGTACAAGTTTTTCCATTATGTACAGGGAGATTATTTCAAATGAAATTGCACAAGTTAGAGTATCTATCTATAGGCATACATGGTCAATCTAACTAAAAATTTAATAAGCAGTAATTACTCAGTCCTGGTTATACATTCCTAAAGGCTTAATAATACAGTTTTAAGAAGAAAAAAATAAAAATAAAACAAAACACAACAAAACACAGTTGTAGGGTGGCAATCTCTGTAGGAAACCTCATTCCTCCCAAAACAACCACGGGTTAACTGTACTTTCCATATTTGAAATGGGGTCTACAAAGAAGTCATTTCAGCTCCTAAATAACACAAAACATGTGACTACGTCCTTTCTAAAGTCTGAATGGTTCAATGCATAATTCAGTGAAGCTCTCAAACAAGTAATACTGGTAGGATGCAGACTGTTAACAGAAATTAGGACAATATGCCCCACAGCGCATTTGGATAGCAAAACCGTGTGTGTTAAGGGGCCATCATCCCGCGGTTAAAGCAACTCGAAGCAGGAGGCCAGCTCTCCCTGCAGCAGCTGCTCCCTTAGCCAAGGCTAAAGCCCAAATTTCTCCAGCTCTTACTCAAGCATCTGCCCCTCCTGCTCTCAGCCCCCCGGCCAGCACCCCTTCTCCTTTCCGAGGGGACATCCCCAGCCCAAGGGGACAGGAAGGATGGCAGGGTGCAAGCCCCGCCTCCTCTGCCCTGCTCGGGGCAGGAGGGCTCCCAGCGGCTCGATATGCAGCCCAGAGGGGCTCTGCTGGCTTTCTGGCTTTTCTGGCTCCCGGCCTCACCCACCTGATACAGCTCAAGGCAGGGACAAACCGAGAGGTCGCATCTCTCCCGCTGCGTTACCAAATGCTGTTACAGACCCAGAGGGCTACCCCTAAGGTAAGTTAACTAAACACACAGGTAATGGAGCATCTTCTTCCCACATTAGCAAAACATAAGCATTAACTAATTAACACAACTGCTTTGACTTTTTCTTAATCTCTTTTTTTTCTGGTGTCAGGTCCTGCTACAAATGGATAAAACCCATAGAGAGCTGCTTTCCTAGATGACAAAGCAGCAGAATCTTAAGCCTTGAGGATCTGCTTTGTAATTTACTACTGGCAAAAACAATGAAAAATAGTCCCATTTGTTTGGTTGTTTTTTGTGGTGTTTTTTTCAGAAAAAAATCCAGACCATCCAGTGCATGTTCTCTGCACACGCACACACACACACGCACACGCACCAATGGAGAGCTCCTGAAGAACAGGCACGGGAACCACAAAGCCCAAATTGTGAAAAGACACGGGGAATCTCACATTTCTGTTTTCAGTTCTCATTTAGCAATGAAGCAGCAAAATGATGTATTGCAAGAAATAAAGTCACAGAACACACATACACCCAAACGCAACCACGGATACATTTTTCCCATTTTTTTTTTTTTTTTCTGATAGATGCTGTTATTTCTCTGTTTCTTTCTGGCTGTGCTGAAGTTTTGAAGAGCATCTGGTGCTTCTTTAACCTTTATCAGAATGTAAGAACCTCAGTGGCAATGGACAATCAATCTCATTAGTGCCAAAACCAACCATTTCCACCTGAGATTCTCTATGAACCCCTTCCCCAAGTAGAATCTGACTCTGCCCCTTTGGTGCCACTCTGTTGTTGGTTGTTGGTTTTTTTTTTTTAAATTAACAAACACAGCATATTAATGCAAATTTGATGTTTTCTAAAAATTAGAAATGCTCAGATAATTAGTTCAGCAATATGCAAAGTGCATCTATTTGGTTCTTTCCATAGATCACCTTCTGTTGTAAGTTTAAATTCCTTCACAGTTTAAAATATTGTGAAGAAATTATATGTATACTTTATGTATAGAACTATTTATATACATACACATATATACACACAACTCTGTACTTTATATAGCCATAAACACTCATTACTTAACTATTTATAGTATATACACATGGCATGAAAACACGCTCGGTGAAGAGCTGGTGCAGGCTGAAATCATTCCACCAGGTTTAATGGAACAACAACAGTGAAGCCATGAGTGAGTTACCAAGAGACACAGACAGACATCTATTAGATAAGTGAAAGACCAATTAAATCAGCTCTTCCATTTTCCTATTAGCACAGGATTGTTCCCACTCCATTCCACGCTCTGGATTCACATACAGTTATTTTGCGCTCACTTCACATGAGAGGGCAGCGGTGGCTCTTTTTTTTTTTTTTGTCTCTAAATGAAAGAGCAGTCTGTATTTACTCAGGCTCATCGCAACCTCTCCCGCAGAAGGGCGGCGCAGCCAGGTCCAGACATCTCGGAGGACTTGGGAACGCTGCGTCGCCGTTAGCTGAAAGCACCTGCTGAAGCGTTATTGCATGGTTACGGGACAGCTATCAACAGCTCACAGTCTGCAAACTCTCTCCCTCCAACAAGTGGTACAACTGTATAAATACATATTTCAGCACAAAACAGTTTAACACGAGGCAAGTCCAAGTACAAATGAGACCTAAAGGCCTATGGGTGAACTTTAAAGGCCAAGAGTTCTTCAGAGTGCATGTTGTTTAAGGAACGCAGATCAGGTAATTTCAAAAGAAGTTTGGTGAAAATAGAGGCTTCATTTGGGTGGTTTTTCATGATTAAGGTCCTTAATGCACGGATTAGTGTTTCCTGAAGTGCCTCCACAGAATTGACATTTTCTATTCCAGAGCGATCTAAAGAAAAGAGGGTGAGAGGGAGAAAGACAAAAAAAGGAGGGAGGGGAAAGAGAAAAAAAACACAAAAAAAGACTGAACGGATGTAGTCTGCAACATAAAGCCACTGTAAGAATCACTCACTACATTAACAAGCACAAGAAAAATTAAATACTTATGCAAGATGTTTCAAAAATACATATCAAAAGTCTTTCAAACATTACTTTGCATTAACTTTGTAAAGTATTAAGCTCATGCTGACCTGGCAGCATTCAATCGCCTTTTCCTGTAATTACTTACCCATGTTTCCAGAAAAGGACAGACTGAAGAACACAAAAATTTTGCTGAATCACAACTTTCAACACAATGAGAGAGGCAGGGCACAGGGAAGTAAAAATTTCAAACATTTCTCAAGCGATGTTAGAACCCTAACCCTATGCTAGAGGTTCGTGTCTGAGGGGGAAATCCCACCCAGGACCAGTCAGACTCGTATCTGTGCAATGGGATCCCCAGGGCAAAGCCTTCACATGACTGGGCACTATTTCTGAGTGTGTTGTGAAACACTTACAAAATGAAGTATGAGGCACCCAAAAAAATCCCAACTGAGGAAGACAAAATTTCAACACCAAGAAAAATACTATGCTTTCACATACTGCACTCACCCAACGCCTGAAGCATCTCTCGAAAGAGATCTGTATTTAAGAACATGCCTGCTGTCCTCAGCTGGAACCTAACTAGGCAGGTTAAAAGGACGATTTTTAAGCAAAACATCTCCCCTAATAGCCGTGCACAGTAGCTGTTTTTTTGAAGCCATAGCCTCTTTTCTTAAACTCTATGTAAATGCAGCAGGGCACATACATACACGAGTGATGGACGGGAGCAGCAATGTGCTTTGATGTGTGCACGTACTTAAGGACTTTGCAGAACTGGGACACAGAATGACAACAGCTTTCCGGAGCAGCACTGAGTCAGACCGCACAGTCAGAGTGGGAATCCCTTCCTTACGCTGTCACTGTCAATCAGACTTCTCAGGTGAACAGAGCCTAGGAAGTCCTCCTGGACTAGTCACTGCAGTTCCCTACTGCTATGGCAAAAAAATATTATATAATCCACTTAAGGATCCATCTTGAAGCAGTTGATATGTTTTGTTCTTTTAGGAAGGTTATTCCAGAACCTTCTACTCTAATAATTAGGAACTTTGATTAATACCAAACAATGTTCATTAGCACATATTCCACTCTTTCGTGAAGACTGTCCCTTAGGTCTGATAGCTGCTCTTCAAGAGAGCACAAGTTAAGCGATGCCTCTCTGCTTTCATTTGTTAAACCACCTATCCCACTTGCCCCTCACTTTGTAAAACCTTTAGGTTTGCTCTGCCCTTAGCAGGGATAATGACAATTGCACAGCAAATGCCAGATGGGGTTGATCAAGAGCTCTGCACAGCGACAGCCGTACCGTCTTGCCTCTGAAGACAGAACGCAGTCCAGCCTCTCCTGGCTGCCCTGGCTAAGTTACCGTGGCTCCCTTTCTTCAATTAGCCTGTCTTTCCTCTTCCCCTTAGTCTACCTCCAGTTGCCCCCAGTGGCCAGCAGCAGCTTTTGTTAGTGCTATCCATCAACAAGAGAGAATAGTACAAGGTGTGTATTTCATATTCTTCTACCACAAGGCATCACCTTCAGTTAAGAGATTATCTGGTCTCTTAAACCTGGATAAACCACATTCCTTGAGCTTTGTTTTCACCTCACTTCTTCCTTCTTCAGTGCCCATGATCCATCTTGGTATGTCCCCTCTGTTTTCAACCTATCCAGCTAACTATAGACAGAGGCGAGACGTTCTTTTATTTTTGTAATGGTACCAAAGCAATTCCTCAGCACCACAGAAACACTCCCATATGCTGGATGTACGGCCCTGCTCTTCCTTTCTTTGCCATACGACACCATAACTACAGGATGTACACAGTTACACACATTCCTTGCTATTACCTCTACTGCTTCTTTCTGCATGCTCTAAATATCCTTCGTAATAGTGGTTATTCATCCAGCATTATGTGGACATGCTTCTGACAAGTGTCCTCCCCACTGCCGCTATTTGGAGATCTATGAACACTTCTTTCTTTCCACTGGCATTTTTAAAAAAAAATTTAAACAGCTGAAAGTTTTTTTAGAAATATTTTTAACTAGTGCAGCATGGTATTTCATATCTTAAATCAGTCAGATTCAACAGTGTCACACTCCTGTCTGCCTCTGGAAGTCATGTAAATAATCACTACTTCACGAACTTCCTTTCAATCTTCTCTTCCACGACCTTCATTTTGAGGTGAAGTCTTAATGGCATTGTTCTCCCATCTTCAGTTCTTCTGCCAGTTCGAGCATCTTTCGCCTTTGCACGCATTTCTCTGTTATTCTCTCTGATGCCGTTCTTTAACTTTTCCTCCTTCTCTAACTGAGCTCTGTCTCTACCTTATGGGAAACAACTCCTTGGGTCACACCCCTCCTTGAGGAGTGAGCTGCAGGGGATTTGTCTTTCAAGATGTGTTTAATGAACGGGTGTCCACAATCCTTCAGTTCTACAGGTATCTTTTTCTCCTGGCAAGCCCTCATCCTGCGAGCATCTCCCCAGGAGCTATGTTGAGGCACTTCTGTTCTTCTTAGGTACCTGCTCAAATGCAAAGCTTGCTCACTTACTCATGCAAGTAACTACTACAGCATTTGAGTTCAGTTACAAGCTACAGAGTGAAGTTGATCTGAAAACTGCTGGACTCACAGTGGCCATCAAGGCTTCTGAAGCTCACCAAATCTGAACCACCTGCTCGTTACCATTGCTCAGACCACAGCGGAGGCTACAGCAGCTGCCCACCCTGTGCTACCACATTTCAGTTAGGTCACACACAAAGCTATGAGACTGAACTGTCCTATCCTGCTTACAGAGGCTTCACATGCCCACAGCACTGTGTCTGGGGTGCTTCTCCCCAGCAAGAAAGGCGCGGGGCTGAA